ATCGGCCCTCCTTATAGTCGGCCACCCCTCTCGGTCGGCCATCACCCTGCCGGTCTCTCACAACCCTCATTTTCTTTATTATTCCCTTCATTGGACTAAAGCTGCACTTGGAAATGGGGGACTACTGACATGGGTAAGCCCATAAAGATTATAGCCTACCATTTAGGACCTAGTACATAACTCAAATACTAAAGTCCAGCATTGCTGAAGCCCCACGTAGCAATAAGAACCAATGACATCAAGACACATAGCAAGAGAAGGGCAAGCCACATAAGTAGACAAAGATCTGCAAAGTTATTGCCACTGCACATCACCATTAATGAAGTCCCTTACAGCATTTATTGCGATAACCCCTTTCCGTCGGGACAGAACGCCTTCACCATGAATAAGGTAAGCTAGAGCATAGACTTTCGGCCAAGGTGACAGGTCGAAAGGGACAACGAAATGATTACCAGAGGATATAAGCAGACGTTGAAGACAAGAAAAATGTTAAGTTTTCTATCTCTACATTCCACTTCTCTTTCTAACTTGCTCGTCGGAGGGTTCGCTGGGGGGACTCCTCTTTCCCCGTTGAACTCTTGTGCAGGTTCCTCCGTAGGCTTGGTCACTCGGACACCGATTTGGAAAGTGTGGATCAGTCCGACCCGTTCCATCTGAAACCCGCTGTATCATCACAAATTAACATTCAAAGTGAATTTTACTGTTTAAGTTGACTTTGAACAGTAAAATTTTATTGTTCAAATTAACATTAAAATAGTGAACTGTGAAATTTTACCACCACCACACCATCACTAGTGGAAATATTATGTATATATAAAATTTGCTAGCCAAATGATAATACGGATATAGTAAAATTTCACTGTGTAAACTTGAGGTTAGACAATGAAATTCTATAACACCAATCACCAAACAGTAACTAGTAAAAATAATACAATATCTATCTTATATCCTGTTTAGTTATGACTTATTTTTTTTAATTATCACTGAAAAAAATTTAATTATGAAATTTATGATAATTAATACTATAAATATCATAATTTACCTGACTACAAAAGAGATGTGCATAGTAACATGATCCTTTTAAAAAAATATCAACTTTTACCCCAAAAAGGTTGGCTATTGCCTGCTCACTTGATAAAATATCATTGCAACTTGTCACATTTTTCCGGATGGTTTGCGAACAATTGATGCCGCTGAACATCATTCTTTGGTTAATGCTTGCCATAAAATCTAAATCATTACTTCTTTGGATGAAGATTAGTGTCCATGATGTCACAATCTACTGCATTTGCTACAGTAAAGACCCCCATTTAAATGAAGATTAGAGGATTGGAGGCAATGGAAGATTCCGAAAACTTTTTAGAGAATTTGAGAAAATAATGGAGTCTTGTATATACATCTAGAGTGGCGTAGATACTTATATAGATATTTCTAAATAGAATTCTAGAACTCTCCTGTAAGGATGTGGAAAGTTTCTATGAAACTTCTACACCATTCATTTGTTGTATATTCTAAAAGGACAAATTACACCGGTGCCCTATGTTTTATCTCTTGTGTCATTTTAGTCTTTATACTCTCAATTAGCTAAACTTTGACCCTTAATTTTAGATTTTGTTTCAATTTGGTCTAATTAATAATATCGTTAGTACTTTTTAAAGAAAATTATCACTAAATTGGTTGAGGTTAACTAACTTAGTTGAGTAAATTTATAATTTTGTCCTTAAAAATATGGCACATAACACTTATGTGCGTATTTTTTATATAAAAGAAAATACTAAGTATTGTAATCAATTAGACCAAATTGACACAAAATCATAAACTTACAATCAAAATCGAGCCAATTGAAAATACGGAGACCAAAATGACACAAGAGATAAAATACAGGGGCTATCGTCGTAATTTGTCCATTCTAAAATGTTCTACAAAGGCCTAAATTACCTATAAATAAGAGAGGGGCTCATTTGCTCCAATCCATCCAAGACTTTACATTCCTTATGCTGCCGGTGGCAGCAATGACGTTGAGGTAGCAATCAACAACAGCATCGAAGGAGGCCCGTTGTGTAGGGGCAGTCGGTGGGGGAGAAGGTGAGGATAACAATGTTGGTGTTGGTGAGAGATCGGAATTTTTTTATCTCAATCTTCTTCTTTCCAGATCCCATGTCTCTCTGCTTCTCACAATTTTTCTGTTTCTCTCAGAATTATTTTTACTATTGGTGCGAATGGATCGTGGTTATGCACCGACTTTAATAAATAAAATAAAAAAATAAATTATAAATACATCTATTGAGAGACCTTGGCGGAGAAAGTCACCATTCTCTGCTCTTCCTTTTTTACTCTCTTGATCTCAATCTTCTTCTTTTTAGTTTCCAACTGTAACTCCAATTTCTCACACATCTAGAAATATTTTGTTAAACCACAATTGTTATCAATTGACATCTCTATTTTTCTGTTGTCATGAATTAAGAGATTAACAACAACAATGATTACCAACGCTAGACACTTGAATTGTGTCAACAATGAGCATACACCGTCACAAAAATGAGCAATACTGCGATACTCCAATACTAAAAGTACATATTAATTTGTACATAAAAAAACAATTGCTTTGTAATACCTGCATGTTTGGATCTTGCATACTAAGGGGCTCTGTCATATGCGTTTTTCCTTGCAGTTTTTAAGATGGTTTTGTCCGTTGTAACAAAGTATGCAGCAATGGAAGTTGTACGTGCAATTAAAAAACAGGACAAACATTAATTCTTACAATATTCCAATTTGGATAATATATGATCATGAATTAATTCATTATTTTTTTTTCCATATTATTTTGTACTGCTCTTTCAAATGTATTGACAATGACTGAGTTTAACAACAATGTTTTGGTTGACAAATTGATGCTATTTCTTGGATTCTTCAATTCACTATCTCTCGTTGTTATCAAGATTGGAACAGCTTTGCTAGAGAAAAAAAAACCCACAAAAAAATCGCAAACTACCCTAGAATAATACACTGATCAAAGCAAACATAATAAAGCTTTTTGCACGTGAAGAGAAAGCAAGACAGATTGTTCATTCAGATAACTAGAAAAAATAAATAAATAAATAAATCAAATCAAATCAAATCAAATCAAATAAATAAAAATTAGAACGTGATGAAATAGTTGGCAAAATATATGCTAGGTTGTGAGCATAGCATACCTGCTGTGCTGATATGATGAGTGCGTGACCCGTATGGTTGATGTTAGCCTTTGCCCAAGGAATCGTGCGAACAGCAGCCAACTGATATTAATAAAGAAGGGGCAAAAAAATAAAAAATTTATATGATATATATATATACATAATATACTAGAACACTACCACACACATGATGCATTGTGTGCAAAAATGACAGTTATAATTGTCATCTACGAAACAAATTGAAAAAATAATAGGAATGAAGAGATAGCATATATATACAGTAGGCACGGCACTGGCAATGCAAGTTATGGCAGCTGCCTTGAACCCCTCACGTACACTTGCTGCAAAATTAGCAAACACACACACACAAAAAGAAAAAGAAAAAAAGAAAGCAATTTCAAACTAAAAATCAATATTCAATTCAATTACAGTGTCAAGTATCAACACCCAAATGAAACTAATAAATTATGACACACAAACAAGATGACTTCATTGACCCTCCTTTGGGGAAAGAAAGAAGTGAAGAAAAGAGAAATTTGAATCATTGTTATTTTTATTTTCTTCATTTTTGAAAAATTCAAAATGATATTTGAATCATGAATTACTCAAATTCAATCTAGATATCATATCCAGAACGAATCTAGACTATGCACACTTATTTTTATGTTCATATTTATTTTACTGTATGCACATAACGTTACTATGCTACTATTGAGATATATCAAAGCGGCCCAAATTTTATTTTTTTTTCTTTCCATTTTTGCATTCTTTTTCCTTTATTTTCTCATCAACCAAACGTGTCTATACAAATACACACACATGTAAATATATGTACATATATCCATACCTTTGGGTGCAGTTTTCAGCATTCACGAGTCCAGCATCAGCCGAAACCCCCATGATTGCTCTGATTAAATTCTTCTCAAGAAAATGAAACCAAACTAAGAAGAAAAACAAAAAGCAGAGAGCGAAAGAGAGAGTCAGAGATCGGTTTTGTTTAAAAATGGTGTCCTTTTTTATTTATTTTTTTAATAACTAACCCAATTTGGATGGTGTTGGTGGTTAGCCTATTTTTTCGATCTCTCTTTGGATGGAAACTATTAGGACTCCTGAGGACCAATGTGTCTCTCCACTTCTATGCAAAAAGGCTCCCAAACTTCTTTTTTTTATTTGAAGGGCAAAAATAAAATAAAATTAATGTAGTTTGCCACATTTTAAAGAAAATGATAGGTATGCAAAAAAAGGCTCCCAAACTTCATTCCAATAATTTTTAACCAAACCTAATTCAACACTTTTTTTCTTCTTCTTTTTTTTGATGACTAAAAAAACTTTTCTATAGTTAAATTCATGTACTTCGCCACATTTCATTTACAAAATCGAAATTCTAAATATTGAGCCTTAACATCTTTTCTTTTCTTTTTAAATGATGGAGATAATCACGATCCGTTTTTTTCTTGTGTTTTTTTTTTTTTCTCTTTTTTATTAAATGATAGAGAAGATCACAATCTATTAATTTGTGACAAAAAGCAAATTTATATATGCATTTCGTTAACGAGTATTCTCTTGGTTTCTCTTCCTAAAATATTCCATATTTAGTAAATAATATTAAAATATTTTCCAAATTCTCAAAAATTATGGCATAGGTTTGGTTTGCCCCATATAATTTTCTTTCTTTATTTTTATTTTATTTTTTGTGTTCTCATAAACACAAGCAACCATTTTTTTATTTTTCATAAATATATTTTTGGTTGTAAAATTTGTTTCCAAAAACATGTTTTTTGGTACACAGGAAAAAACTAAACAAACAAAACTTGGAAAGCAAACTCATTTGCCATAAAATTGATCAATTCGTACTCGTAAAAATAAAAATAGTATTTGTAGACCTATTGTCACAGGATCTTATTAAGAAATACATCGATTCCACAGAAAAAAAATAGAATCACCTATAAATTATTAACTATTACATTTTCATTCACTAAGAAAAAAATGGACACCAATTTTTCTCACCTATTACTAGGCTGGTATAAAATTCATCCTTTCCAACTGAAAGTAGGATAATAAATTAGATGAAAAATATTGAGCATCGTTCGTGCCTAACTATAACAAGAAGCCACTCAGTCCATCCTAAATTTATGATTGCTTGAACCTGAAAGCTCAGAATGTGCAACGGTAAATGGCATCAGCCACTCCATCTTCATCGTTGCTGACACCGATCACGTCAGCTACGGCTTTTGTCTTGTCTGATCCATTACTGAGAGCAATGCCCAGAGATGCCAATTCAAGCATCTCGATATCATTTTCGCCATCACCAATAGCCATTATCTAACAACAAATGCCAAAAAAAAATTAATTGAATGGAATTAATATACCTATATCTTCAACATTGAGGACAACAGAAAATCATTTTAAATTCCCAAACCCAAGCACTTTTGAACTTACTTCTCAAATCTATGTTGTTTGCTAAGTCATTTTTTAAGGCTTGTCAAAAGACTTTAATTAACAACATATTGTAAAATTCATTAAAATTGTGTTTTCATGACTTCAGGGTTGAAGTTGTGTTTTCAAAACTCAACTTTATGAAACAACCTCAGTTTGGGAAATAAGTTCAAAAGTGCCTAAATTTGGGAAAAAAGTTCAAATGGTCACAAATATGGAATATTATTCTTTCTACATTTACCAGTGATCCAAATAAATGACAGAAAAAGAAGCTGAAAACCATTTCAAGCAAATATAAAATAAATTAACATAGACTAGCTTTAAAACTAAATTGCTACAAATAATAAACTATGCATGGAAGTTGCAATATTAGGAAAAATAGAATGAAAAATCTGCCTGAAAGTATTCTGATACAATGCATAATCAAGCAGAAAACATAGGCAACAATGTGAGGGAAAATATATTTTGCAAGATAAACGGTTTCTAATAGAGCTCATTTTCCTTCAACAACTAATGGGCAAAAGGTTAAGAGAAATAGTGTTATTGACCTCTTTTTCTTATTTCCTGTTAATGGAAACTCAGACTCCAGGAGAAATGTCGAGAATTTTTTTTTTTTAATAAATAAAATTGTAAAAAATTGGACAAGAAAAGAAAATTGTTGCCACACACCTCATTTGCAGTGACACCCAAATGATCAAGCAACATTTTTACTCCACTCCCTTTTGAAGTTCCAGAGGGTACAATTTCGAGCATATCTGGCACAGCTTGCACAACAGTAGCACGATCTCTTGTTGCTTCTGACCAGTAAGGTCGCAGAGTAGTAGCCACTCCCTCAGCAGTGTCTAAGAAGATCAGCTTCTGTGTATTTGGATGATCATGGGTCACAACAAGAGAAACCAGAACAACAATAATCATAAATTATTATCTTGGTTCGTTGTTAACTTGATCATCAAGAGAAATGAACCTACTAGGACAATGTTTTCCATCCAGTGATAACGTATGGACATACATATACGACAACCACTAATTCTCACTCCATTCTTAACAGAAGAAATACAGAACAAGTATAAATAATTTGCATTTTAACAGGATCTGCTTATAGACACAAATCCATTTACATCTCTTAAAAGGATTTAATTACAATAAACCATTATTTAACAGAAACGGAGTAAAAGTGACTAGTCAGTCAATAGCGGCGCAACAATCCAATTCAGTTTCCTTGCTGTCCAAATGAAATATGTGCATGGCTGTGTTTGTGAGAATTGGTTACATTTAGTTTCCTTGCTGTCCAAATGAAATATGTGCATGGCTGTGTTTGTGAGAATTGGTTACATTTAGAAACTCTGTGTTAAATATTTGTGCCACTTTATGCTATGGTCAGTGTGAGCCCAAAACAACAAAACTGCCAATTTTAACAGCATACCTGTATGTCAACACCAGCCAAGAGGTCCTCAATTGATGGCATGACCTCCGCCTGCACAAAGGTTTCATGTGAACCGTGTAACCAAGTAACCCACATAGGCATTCACTGAAACAGTTATGGTGTGCGCGGAAAAAATAAACAAATCAGTGAATCGGGTACCTTTGGCTCATGATATATAGTATGAAGTGTGTCCACAAGAGGGTGATCAAATAATGTTAAGCAACGATCCTCACTGAATGCAATAAGTGGAATTTTATTCTCCAGAGAGTAGAGAAATGCCTGCAATACAGAAACATAATATTTAACTTCTCCACAAATATAGAACAAGAATTATCTAACCGATCACAAGAGAGAGAGAGAGAGAATAATCTAAATAAGCATAACTGTCCCTCATGCCTCGTATAAATTTTCTGATCCTTGTCAAGGTATCTAGGTCCTATCACAGGATTAAGAACTTTGAAATAGAGATTGCACTTAAGAAAATGAAATCAAATAAGACTTTAGGACCCGATGATATCCCTATTGAAGCTTGGAAGTGTTTGGGTGAAAAAGGGATTGCTTGGTTGACAAGGTTGTTTAGCAAAATTTTGTTAACTAGGAACATGCCAGATGAGTGGAGGAAGAGTATTTTAGTGCCAATCTCTAAGAATAAAGGAGATGTCCAGAATTGCAACAACTATAGAGGAATCAAGCTAATGTGTCATATAATGAAAGTGTAGGAGAGGGTGATGGAACACCGATCGCGAGATATAACAGATGTGTTAGAGAATCAATTTGAGTTTATGCCTGGCAAGTCAACAATGGAAATGATCTATCTTTTGAGGAGAGTTATAGAAAAGTATAAAAAAAAAAAAAAAAATAGACATTCATATGGTGTTTATCGATCTTGAGAAAGCATATAATAGAGTGCTCCGGGATATCATATGGTGGGTGTTAGAGAAGAAAGAGGTGACAAAAAGTTACATTGATGTGATTAGGGACATGTATGAAGGGGTGGTGACCACTATTAGATCGCCTGTTGGAGAGACAAATGAATTTTTCATCACTGTAGGGTTACACTAAAGATTTACCTTAAGTCCTTATCTTTTTGCTTTAGTTATGGATGAATTGACAAGAAATATTCAGGATGACCCGCCATGGTATATACTTTTTGCAGACGATATCGTGCTAGTGGATGAGACTAGAGAATGAGTAAACACAAAATTAGAGATTTGAAGAAAAGCTCTTGAATTTAAAGAATTTCGGATAAGCAGAACTAAGACAGACTATATGGAATGTAAATTTAGTAACAGTAACAATGAAAGCAGAAGAGAAATGAAGATTGAGAACCAAGAACTACCTAAGAGTGAACATTTTTGTTATTTAAGGTCGATTATCACAACAGCGGGGGAGATTGATGCGGATGTGGCCCATAGGATTAAGGCGGGATGGCGTAAGTGGAGAAGTGCGTCTGGGGTACTGTGCGATAAACGAATACCCACTAGACTAAAAGGTAAGTTCTATAGAACGGCTATTTGACCAGCGATGTTGTATGGGACGGAGTGTTAGGCAACCAAGAAACAACATGCTGAGATGAGGATGCTAAGGTGTGTGGCAAGACTAGACAAGACAGAATTAGGAATAAGTGTATTCGGAAATGAGTAGGAGTAGCACCAATAGAAGATAAGTTGAGAGAGAATTGATTGAGATGGTTTGGTCATATTCTACAGAGACCAATAGAGGCAATAGTGAAGAGATGCGATGCTATAACTTTAGATGGAAGTGTTAGCGGACGGAGTAGGTCTAAATTAACATTAGTTAGCGTTGTAAATAGAGATATGAATCTACTTAATTTGACTAACGAAATGGCCTTTGATAGGACCGCGTTGAGAAGAAAGATTCATATAACCGACCCCATTTGATGGGACTTAAGGCTTGGTTTGGTTTGGTTTAGTTTAGTAGTTATATGAATGACCTAAGAAGCCCAAACACGAACATGAAGCCGACATGTAAATTTTTAAAAAATATAGAACAGGACACAGAAGGGATACATGCAAAATATATCATCTATATATTTTTTCCATATATTTGAACATTTTATTTAAAGATAATAAAAAAATATTGCAACATAACACTAACTAAAATTGAAAATCCATATATTTCATGGCTTAAACATCAAGATATCATTCACATAATAATTGCATTCCATCAAAGATTCAAAAGTGATAAAATGAAGTTGTAAATCATACCTTTTAAGAATTTTTTTTTTTTTTTTTTTTGTTTATTCAATCCATACATCACAAGAAATCAAAGTAGCATAAGTATTAGCAATCACAATAAATTACAATCCAGCATCATAAGCAATGTACTCAAAAAAAAAAAACTATTTTTTTTTTATTATGTTGAAACAGATGTTGTAGGTTACGTGGTGGTCCATGAAGCACGGACATGTGTTAGACATACGCTTTGGACAGATGTCGAACACACTAGAAAAAGTGGCTCAATTTATTAACTTAATTAAATTTTTTTTCCACTAGGTCATGCTGGGACATGTCACCCATTGTAACCTGCATATTTTCAATACAAAAATAGTTTTCAAAAATATTATTATTTAATTACTTGTAGGTAACCTGCTTAATTGAATGTAGAAAAATAAATAAATAAATCTTGAGGCTAAATTTCTTAAATGAATTTATAATTATGAATTTTTATTGTTATTTATAGACCACTTAGAATGACTAATAAACTGTCTGAAGCAACCAATTAAGAAGCACACAAATTACGTAATCGCCACCAACACACTATGTGGGCACCTTGTCACTTAAGACTAGACCCAGCAGCAGAAGTCTGATTCTAGCCTCAGATAATATGGTTGACAAAGTTTGGAACAAGAAAATTACAGCCCAACATCCCAGCACAGCTGAGCAGAAAGAGGCCACTGTTTCTATTATTAATACAATGCACATTATATTTCCAACCGAGGGCAAAGCAACAGTAACATTGATCCGCAATAAAATAAGTTATTTTCCTAACTTTTCTTTGCCATACCATAATAACAATGTTATTGAAAAACTAAACGTGGGACCTCCAGAAAATTCAATTAATACCTATGTTACATGGACTTGGGTACGAGTAGCAGGTGTGGATGTGTATCCAAGCGTCCAACCTTCATAAATTTAAATCTTAAAATCTTGGGATACATATCCAAATTAGATATGGGTGTAGAGGACACGTTATATACACATATATATTGCATATTATATAATATGTTCACATGAAATGTTATAATTTATATAGAAATATACTTAAAATTAAATAGGATTAAAAAAAAATATGAAATTTCTATATCTAATTCATGTGCAAGGCTAAAAATATTGCTTTACTAACAAATGCGAATTTCTTCTTCTCATATATTGTAACAAATTAAAGGATCCGAGTGTCTAAATTGGGTACAAGTGTTGGACACGTATCACACACTCTTACCCATGTTATATCCGGCTATGTTACACGGACTCGGGTGCGGATGTCGGGTGTGGGTGCATATCTAAGGGTCAGACACTTCAAAATTAAAAACTGGGGATACGTGGATACGGATCCAAATTTGGATATAGGTATGGAAATACGTTAAATAGTTATTTTTTAAAACATATTTATTATATGAAGATGAGTTAAAAAAGTTAAGGAATAACAAATTTTGTTAAAAAAAAATAACAAATAAAATATAAATAATAAATTATAAAAATTATTTTAGATATAAAATAAATTATATTATATATGATAAAATAAATTATTTTTATTTTAGACATAAAAATTATAATATTTATAATCTATTATATTATACAATATTTTTTTGAGTGAATATTATATATTATTATATTACTATCATTTATAACTAGGAAGCAGAGAAATAGAACGGAGAGAAAGAGAAGTCAGATTCAAAGAAGAAAAGAGAGAGAGAGAGAGAGAAGAAGGGAAGATAGAAGAGAGAGAGACCAAAGGGGAATCGAAGCCCTAGGGTGGAATCGACTTTAAGATGTTGGTTTTCCGATCTCCTTTGATTCGGTCTAGTTCGCAACTAGGGTTCACACTTTGATCTTGCTTCGCAAAGGTGAGTTTCAGCCCCCCCCTCTCTCTCTCTCAACAACCCTTCTTTTTTTTTCCTCTCATGTCAGCCGTGTCCGAGAAAACCATGCCGAATCTGACACATATCTCACACCCGCACCCGTGTCGTGTCGTGTCGTGTCGACACGGGTACTCTATCCTAAACCGGCGAGTCCATGTAACACAGATATCTGGTGGACACGGATAATGTGGGAGAAATAGAAGAGACACAATTTAATAAAATAAAAAGTACCTCTCTGCAGACATCAGTATCCAAATTCCTTCTAAAGATCTCCCGACCTTGTCTACCATAAACAAGCAATCCCTGGAATCAATTAGAAAATTAATAACAAAAGACAACATAGAGTAAACGTAACCAACAACTTGGGATAGAAAGAACATTTCAAGAATGCATAAAACAAAACTATGTGCAATATCAATGGGCATCATGTTTTCCTTGAAGCTTCCATACAACATTTGCCAACGCTAGGTACTTGGGCTAGCAGGTGTTTACCATGTATGCTTCATATTAGATGCTGCAACTAGTAGGTGTTAACCATCATAGTAGATGTTGCTAACATTTCATTTCATCAATACTGATAGTCTAGGAATTCTATTATTAACAGTGTGGATGGAAATGGAATTGATTCAAGTTTCACCTTGCATAAAAATATTGTTCCAATTGGGTGGAAAAACATTATTAAAGAAGAGCCAGAAATTGAAATATTCTAAATATCTTATTCTGTGTCCTGGGAAACTCAAAATTAGCTCAAAACAAGATGATATGCAAGTAATTGCAACAAGAACCTAACTCGACTGGGTCAAATGCTTTCAACCAATAGAAATTATGAAGTCCAAGCACATAATCAATCAAGATGTAGTGATGCCCAATTCATTGCATGTTAAGTCCACAAGAAGGTATCATTATAGGTGCTTGGCTCCTTAGTTACATTGTGTTAATTGTTAATCCCCAAAAATTTGCAATTTTCATGTCTACTGTAGGAAGCCTTCCAAGTTTACGTGGATATCTATTAGAGGTCACCAGCAGGACCTGCTCAAACCATTTAAGCAAGTTAACTGACCTAAATATTAAAAGGATTTCTCTGTCATCTGGGGCATATTCTAGCTCAGGAAAATTACATAATTCAAATTAGTTTGCATCAAGGGTGTTGTTGAGGCTTTAAGTCTTGAATAGTGTTGTAAGTATAACCTATTGAGAAATGCTCTTCAATTGAGAAGCTAAAAGTCCCTTCCTGAGAAATTGCAGCCCAATAGCTTTATTCAGAATGTATGACTCCAAGGTGTCTCTCTCTTATTCTTAACCTCCCCTTCCCTCTTAATTTCTTTGTGATTGTACAATATTAGGCTGTCCTCATCTGAAAAACCTATAGAACCTTCAATGCATAAAGCCCTCACAAAGCAACCTATAGAACCTTTAGTACATACAGCTCCCATACTTCCTAAGGTTACTCTTTTGCCAACAACCTACCTTCATACCAAAAAAGTATTATGACATACCTATGGTTTCAGAGACCTTAGTAGCACAGGTGGCATTTATCCTACATACATCAAACAAGCAAAATATGAATAGAATAAACGGGAAGAGAAAGACCTGTAAGAAGACTCCAGGGGAAAACTCTGAAATAATGCCTTCTTTTCCTGCCAAGTCTACCATCTTTAAAGCACTTATCACAGCTGGGCGAGTCTGTTCCCAAAAATTAAATTAACCAATGGATAAAAAGAATGTGTCAACCAAGAAACACTACCTAACAGAATGAAAAACATAACAATGAGTAAAAAACTTGGGTAAATCTCATCTGCCCTTACCTTACCAGTGGCTATCACCACTTTGACACCCCTTGACAAGGCCTCTCTCAAAGCTTTTGCAGTAGTTGAAGAAACTTGGCTTTGACTGTTCAGCAGTGTGCCTTGTATTTGAATGAGAAATCAATATAGGCAAAAGAAAAGATCTAGAGAACATTAATAACAGAGGCAGTTCAGAGTGGTCTCACCATCCATATCACAGAAGATATAGCTAAACTTTGGTTTGTAAAATCGAAGACTGCCTTCTTTCTTCCTGTCTTTTAACAATTCATGTGTAAGATTCTCTCTGCAATCTCACACACATGCAAATATAGCTTCAAAATGAATAAAGAATGTAACTATCCAAGAGGAAGCTTTGTTGGCCAAGATGGTTGTAATGTTAGAATTGATAACAATGAAATTACCATCTGGATTATCTATATGAGGCATTCCATTGGTTTCAGCATCATTTGCACTCTGAATTAATCCTTTCCCCTTCCACCCAAGACTCTTCAAAAGCAGTTCCTCTTCCTCCTCCATTTCTGCCTCAGCTTCATCACTAATCTCATGATCAAATCCCAATAGATGTAACAACCCATGTACCTGCACGAAATTACAGAAATTAAAGTTCTCTCTTTAGGATAATTAACTTCCAGGCATAAAAAGTTTATTATAAACTGAAAACAGTTGACACACCGTTTTTACATTCCCATTTATTTTTGTGTCATTTATTCACTTGTCTGTGACTATTCTACTAAAATTACAAGCAAATCAAAATTTTATCATTCCACATAAGACATGAGGTAACGCAATACAAATGGCCGCAGCATTAGTCCTATGCAACGAAAAATTGTCAGTCCTTTTTCTCTCTCTAGAAGGGGGGAGGGGGTTGCTTATAGGAGGTTGGTTTTCATAATATCTTCAAACCAACAGCATATGCTCCACCATTTTAAATATCTTGATATTGGTGCAGTGTAACCAATAACACCTATAGGATGCTTTGTCTTAACAAATTAAAAACCAGGATATTTGCTTCAGTAGTCTGAGAGTCTGACCAGTCTATTACCTACAATTTGATTATTTAAAACTTCATTCTTGCAATATCAATATCTGCTCTGTTTTTGAGATCAGCAAGAACCAGAGAGTAACTGAATCTCAAACTATCGAAAGAGGAATGCAATGCAGGGAAAAGAGGCAGTCCCACCCATTTCAAGACAAGTAGACATATACTAGAGTGAACAAAGAGTTAAGTATATAGGTATGCATTCATTATTCATGAGTATATTAACTAAGATATTGTTGAACCAACCAGGAGTATCCGTATCTCATCAATAAGAGTGTGCCCTCTTTCCTCTGCTTGCCTTGCAGCTGTCTCAACAGAAATTACAATGTCACCCAACATGAGCTGCAGAAAGAAAAAGCATGTCAAATTTGCTACTTGAAACAGATTACACATGCAATGAATTGAGCTCTTACAATTGGAAGCTTAAGTTCGGGGACATGTTGCGACATGGAAAGAACATCAGTGGCATGGTCCTCATCCCTCCATTCCTTGTTGAGTTTGCGAATGAACTCATCATTGCAAAGAAGTACTGACAACTCAACAGTATCAAAACAGCCAACGTCATCTACAGCGGGTTCTCTTGTTTTGTACTCTGAATTTTTTAGACTATCAAATGCCAACTTCATTGCCATTGGAACATTTAGACGGAGCATTTCTGCAATACCCTGCAACATGTGCAGAAAAATAAGCACATATACAAAATATTTAAATCAGCAATCAACAACAGTCAACAGATTATTAATGTCTATAGTAAACAGTTTGGATAATGAGCAAATCGAACTAGTAGCTTAAGTAAATGCTTTGGTGATCCAATTTCAGATTAGATCACTTCCACAAGGTGATTAAGAAGGGAAAGGAGAAAATGTACTGCTATGGGGTGAATAATGAAAGAATATATACATGTGATTCAGCTCCTCCTTGAAATTTTTATGATTATGATTATTTTAATTTAGTTTATCCACAACAGCAATAAATATCAAATTCCAGACACATTGGGACTTCTTTTTCTGAAGACATATATACTTCATAAAGTGTCAGCATCGCACTGGTTTTCAATTTGCTCCACTCCTTAAGCGCAGCATCTAGATGTTACATTTTCCTCGCAATTCAACGAAGTTTTATCTGGACACAAGCTCTTATTCACTTTGATTGCTTCAAGGGTAAAATGGCAATATCCAGCTTGATTTCTAAACTGGTATGGATATCAAAATTCATAAACCAAACCAAGCTCCGTGTCCCAATTCACATGAATCATTTCGGCCACCCCGCTCTATCAAAGCTACGGAAATATAAATGCTATTAGAACTTGTAGTCCAACGTAGTGCTGAAACCTTTCTTTCCTTTTGTGATGGGGGTTTTATTACAATCTACAAAACAGTCTTACGATGAAAACCTTGTTTACCATGCTTTTTAAATTTTTTCTAATTATTAAGCATCTGTGAGAGCAACAAAATTGAAACTTTCCTACTCAATCAGCCTCAAAATATGCGACATAGTGCCCCAATTCGCCATTTGCAGCCTCCAAATCCAGTATAGAAACAAAATATTAAGTTAAAAAACAGTGCTTTGTTATACCCTCTCTTCCAGTTCATAATGCACATCACTTGCCTCTATCAAGAATCAAATATGCAGTTAGTTTAATTTACTTCCTCCCAAATTCTCCAAATTCACTAGTTTACAGCAACTCATTCAGAATTTTCAACCTAAATGGAACAACCTAAAATTTTCAAATTCCTACACATTGTCACTCGATCATCAATGTCAAAACAAAACTAAGATGCAAATACAGAGAGATAAGGAAGGAGATACCAGAATTTCGGAATCGTCGGGCAATTGTTCTTCGATGCAAATATCGACATTGAGCTCCAACTCCTTCTCCTTACGACTCTTCGCCGGACGACGCCGCACCTTCCTATACCCTCTCTGGGACGCAAATACCTTCGAAATGCTCCGATCTTCGCAGCGCAAAGCACTGAGCCTTCCACCAAACACCGAAGAATCCGAACACAAGGACGAGGCATGAAAACAGACGGAAGAAGAAGGGAAGAGAGTCGGTGAACGGCGGAAATAGGCGGCGGTGGAGAAGGCGCGTGAAGCGACGCGCGCCGCCATGAGGTCGCGGGGGAAGGTGCGGAGGAGAAGGAGACTCAGGCGAGGGAGCATTCAGGTACTGGTTTTGTGCTTTATTAAGCAATATTTATGTGTTGGAAGGTATATTCGGCTTCTCTCTCTCTCTCTCTCTCGCCGTGAGTCACTGTCCAGCGACATCTACCAAGTGATTCGAGTGAATAGTGTTCGCAATTTGCAATTCGCACTTTACTGAGAGGGAAACAAAATAATATGATAATAATAATAAATTAATCAAATATTAGCCTAATTTGGTAGAGCTGTAGGAAAGTACTTATAACTTATACTAACAGCTTATAATTTATAACTATGAACATAAGTTGATTTTTGACTTATAAATTAAGCATCTCCTGCCCCACTCAAAGAATAAGTTGATTTCTGACTTACAAAAAGCTATAAGTTTTAAGCTATAAGTTAAACCAAACACATCAAAATAGCTTAAATTAAGCTGAAAGCTGAAATAAGCAGCTTTTAAGCTGCACCAAACAAGCACATTGTTGGGTAAATTTGTTAGTTTTTTGGCTTTTGAAGGTTATTATTATAGTTTTAAGCGTGTCAGTAAGAATCAATCAGTCCTTATAGAAAATAAATTGTTAACCAATTATCAGACGATTATGTTTTAGTTCTTTCAATCTCAATGAAGAGGACTTTTACTGGTGACTTTGTTTAGGAGAATTAAGCAAACAGCGATTAAATGAAGAACAATTGTAACATTTCATTATGTAAAAATAAAAGACTTACAATGATTCAATTCAGCCTCGTAGAGGTTTACAGCAATAAACTACTTGAAACTATTCCTATGAATGAAGTGCAGAACAGGAATTTGAAGTACAGAAATGTAAAAAATAAGAAATGTAGAACTAGAAGGAAAATAAAGTAGAATAAAACTAGTTTTTTTGGATCTGAGTCTGGGGCTTCTTTCTGGGGCCTTTTCTGCTATTTATACTTCTCAATGATAACCGTCGAAATGCGTTTCTAATCATCGAACCACCCCTCCATAATCGCTTATCATGTTTCCTCACAATTAGGTCCACTATGCCATGTCTGCAGTTAGGCTTCCCTGATTTTGAATTCAAATATATGAGTAACCGTTAAAGCCACGTCATTTTGTATCTCTTTGCTAATTCAGTGCTATGCAGATCTACAATAATCAATACTAATTGCCGCGTGTGTAATTACGATTGAGGATTTGAATTGTCTTTCCGTATTGCCCCCATCCTGCCATGTGTTGAACTGTGATTGGTCTATACAAAATATGTAGCCAACATTACCCCCCGCACTAATATACCTAATACTTGGTGATATTAGTGGATCAAGGTATTTTATCCACATCTTAGAACGTGCATGGGTTTTTGTAGACACCCCATTTTTGACCGTCCTCAAGACTTGGACGTCACCGTTTGAACACTCGGTGATCATCCATGTTTGTGTTCGTTTGGAGTTCCCAGAGGTCTCGGCTACGCGCCTTGTCTCAGAATCTCCGAACTCAACCGTTTAGTGTCTGGTTTTGCACCAAACACTTGTGTTTTGCCTTGAAAGGGCAGGGTAGGGCTTGTGGACCATCCCCACCCATCACCGGCAGTGGCTAGAGGCCACCGGCTGGTTTTTGCTGCCGCCGGCCGGCACTATTTGTTGCCGGTCAGCACTTTTTAGTGCCGGCCGGCACTCTTTTTGGCCAAGATGGCATTTTTTGCCGACCGATTACTGTGCATCTGCTTTTGCAGATATTTTAAGACAGCTGTCTTGCTTTTGCTCCCCTCCATACACGTGTATGGAGGGATCTCCCTCTTATGAAGCTTGTCTTGTAAGCTTTACAAGACAAGAAGTGCCATATAGAGAGAGGTTGCTCTCTTGGCTTGAAAAAAGAGAGACTTAAGATATTTTGAGAGCTTAGACAGCCATTGTTAGGGTTTGAGTTCTAGGGTTAGGGTTAGATACACATTCTATCTCTCTTTCCCTCTCTTTTGTGCTCTTGTGTGTGTTTTAGTCCATACTATTGCACACAAGCACCTAGTGTTCCACCTTCCTCTTGGAACTGAGGTTCTAAGGGACTGATTTTGAGGTTTTGGTGTTGGATTCAAGCTAAGAAAGGCCATTGGAGCATCATTGTTGAAGAAGGCTTCAAGGGTAAGAATCTCACCCCTTTTTACCCCATTTTTGCATTGTATTTCTACCTATCTTAAATTCGTTTTTGAGCTTAGTGTATAATACAAAAAAGTTCTGTTTTTAGACCCTCTTGGTTGTTTGTTAAGAGTGTTTTGTGGTTTGGGTAAGTTTGAACACCCTTAGGCCTTAAAAGGCCTCATTTTGTGCCCTTTTGTGCTAGCTCCGGGATTTTGGTGTTGGGTTCTCTTCACCACTGAAATCTTGAGGGATTTCAGTGATGAAGGTGATGCCTTGAAGTCCCAAGAAGGAGAGGGTCACCCCCTCTCCTTGTTGTCCTTGAAATGGGCATGTTTTGGCCTCTTGAGAGAGCATTATGTTTGGGGGTGTATTGACCATGACTTGGCTGTTTTTTATGCTTAATATGTCATGTTATGCCTCTGTTTTTACTTGGTTTTGGTACTCCATGCATGCTTAGCATAGTTGCCATGTAATGCCTTGTTATGCCTTAACATGTCTTAGGTTGTGTGCCTTTGTTTCTAGCATGTTTTAGGCTTACATTTGTGAAGATTTTGTGCTTATCTTGACATGTTTTAGGTCTGTCCATAAGTGTTTGGGTTGATTTTGGCATGCTTGGTATAGCTCCTTTGTATTTGGGCTTGTTGGCCTTGAGCATATGAATGTATAGCATGACATCTTTGCATTGATTTGGTGATTTGGGATCATCCACCATGTCATTTCAGTCCTATTTGCATGCCTATATGTTTACCTTGGATGCATCTTTAATGCCTCATAAGGTTGTCATCTCATGCTCCATATTTTGGTGATTATGCATGCCTTTGTATTTGAGTCACTTAGATGCCATCTAAGGAGTCCTTTAGTCTTGTTTTAACATGCTAAAAATCTGTTTTTAGTTGTTTAATGCATGCCATGGTTGTTGTGCTAAGTGTGCTTCAAAGCTTCTTGACTTGTCTCAAGTACTTGGACCATTTTGCATGTTAATGTTAGCTTATCTTGTTACTTGGTTTGGCACCATCCTAACATGACTTCCAATGCTTATGTGGCATGCTAATCGTCCATGAAATCTCTTGTTGAGTGTGCTTGAATGTTGTTTGCTTAATGCTTAAGCTTTGGACCATAACATGTGTATGTGTGCATGTGTGTTTAGCCTCCATTTCTGGACATTTTGGCTACTGTTTTGGGCCTTATTAGAGCTGCCCAAGCCATGCCTTAGACCACCTTTTCATTGGCTAGCATTGCCTCATGTTTGCTTGCATGCTTGCATAAGTGTATCGCCATGCCATGTTGCATCCTTAGCTCGCATGCCTAAGTTGCATTGCATCTTGCATGCATCACCTTGCCTCTTGAGATGAGTATGATAGAGGTTAGGCCTCCTTGTGTGTTTATTTGGTTTGCATGCATTTTGAAATTGAAGTTGCACGCTTGATTCTTTGGGCCATCATGCATGGAAATGCGTGATTGGTGGTCTGAGAATTGGGGCACATCCTCCTTTGAGTCATTAACATGATAAGGAATGTGATGGGTGCATAAATTGCTTGAATTGCATTGCCATGCAAGATTTTGCCCTCTGCTTATGTGGCTATTTTGCACCCTTTGCACACCCTTTGGCCCCTTTTCTTGCACCCTTTGCTCAAGGCTTCTTGAGGAAGCCTTGACCCCTTTTCTTGGCTTCCTCAAGAAGCCTACCAGCTGTCCAAGCTTCTCCAATAAGCCTTGAACCCCTTTGACCCCTTTCCCTTGACTTAGCTTGTAAGTTAAGTTAAGGTGTCGAATTATATATGCACCTCTCCTCCTCCTTTG